GGATGGATGGGTGGGTGGTTGGGTGGATGGATGGATGGGTGGATGGATGGATGGGTGGATGGATGGATGGATGGACAGACACATGGATGGATGGGTGAATGGATGGGTGGATGGATGGATGTGTGGATGGATGGATGGATGGGTGGATGGGTGGATGGGTGGATGGATGGATGGGTGGGTGGGTGGGTGGATGGATGGTTGGGTGGGTGTTTGGATGGATGGATGGGTGGATGTGTGGATGGGTGGATGGGTAGATGGGTGGATGGATGGATGGGTGGGTGGGTGGATGGATGGTTGGATGGATGGTTGGATGGGTGGGTGGATGGGTGGATGGATGGGTGGATGGATGGATGGATGGGTGGATGGATGGGTGTATGGTGGATGTGTGGATGGATGGATGTGTGGATGGATGGATGGGTGGATGGGTGGGTGGATGGGTGGATGGATGGGTGGATGGGTGGATGTGTGGATGGATGGATGTGTGGATGGATGGATGGGTGGATGTGTGGATGGGTGGATGGGTAGATGGGTGGATGGATGGATGGGTGGGTGGGTGGGTGGATGGATGGATGGGTGCATGTGTGGATGGGTGGATGGGTAGATGGGTGGATGGATGGATGGGTGGGTGGGTGGATGGATGGTTGGATGGATGGTTGGATGGGTGGGTGGATGGGTGGATGGATGGGTGGATGGATGGATGGATGGGTGGATGGATGGATGGATCGGTGGATGGGTGGGTGGATGGGTGGGTGGATGGGTGGATGGATGGATGGATGGGTGGATGGATGGATGGGTGGATGGATGGATGGATGGGTGAATGGATGGGTGGATGGATGGATGGATGGGTGGATGGGTGGGTGGATGGGTGGATGGATGGGTGGATGGGTGGGTGGATGGGTGTATGGATGGATGGGTGGGTGGATGGATGGATGGATGGTTGGGTGGGTGGATGGATGGATGGATGGATGGGTGGATGGATGGATGGATAGGTGGATGGATGGATGGATGGGTGGATGGGTGGGTGGGTGGATGCATGCATTTAGGTGTCTGTCCTCTGTTTACTGTATCTATCTATCCCTCCCCAACTGATTGGTCCATCTATGCATCCGTCATCTCTATCCATCCACTGATACAAACATTATCTGTCTTGTTCTCTTGTGTCTGGGGCCATCCTATCCTGTCCCATCGTGTCCACCCCATCCTACCCTATTTCTGTCGCCTGTCACCCCTTCATCTACCCACTGATGGGTCTATTAATCTGTCCACTGATCTGTCTGTTCACCCGTCCATGCATTTATGACTCTATCCCCTATCTATCGTGCCTCTGTCCCCGTATGGATTGGCCAGCTATGCATGGATGCTTCCATCCATCTATTCAACCACCCACGCGTCTGACCATCTGTCCAGCTGTCCATCCATGTATTGTCCTCTCTGTGGCCTTGGAATGCCAACCTGGGGTGGACCTAATTAAATTAAATTTATTTTATTGTTTTTTTGGTACCCGGAATCGAACTCATGACCTTGCACTTGGGGTGTCTATGTGGCTGAGCTAAATCCCCAGCCTGTAGGCCTCATTTTAATGAGCAGACAACGTACTGATCCATGAGTCCTGTGTAGCCCAGCAGGTTCGATTTACTGTCGTGGGTGTGAGCGCTGCAAAACCTCACCCCACAATCAAAATAGTCGTCACAGTGGCTTGCACAGACCATGTGCGTGTTTGTGTACAAAACCGACCTCCCAAAAAGTACACGCATGTCAGGAAAAGAGATGCCACCGCGGCTGGGTTCCTTATTTTTCTGTGTGTTGCTTTGGTCCTGGGGAACACAGATCTGTGTCCTGGGTGTAGTTTTTTGAATTTGTACTTTGAGACAGAGTCTAAGTTGCCCTTTCCGGTGTTTGATGATGGTTTAAGGTTCAATCCACATTAAATTCAAAGCAGAAGTGCAGTCTAGTGCCTCTTCTTTTGCAGGCGGCAAAGGCACGGGCGGCTGGGAAGGGGGCATCCGTGTGCCCGGGATCCTGCGCTGGCCCGGGGTGCTGCAGGCAGGAAAGGTCGTGCAGGAGCCCACCAGCCTGATGGACATCTTGCCCACGCTCTCCTACATAGGCGGAGCGGTCCTGCCCCACGACAGGTATGCAGCCGGGTGCTTGGTGCTGATGTTGATTAATTAGTTATCCACGCCTTGCCCGGGGGGAGCTGGGTCCTGCCTGGACAGCGCACGGTGACGTCTCTGCTCCCGTCTTGGAGGCCCTGGACATCCAGCGAGCTCCCCACCCCGGCCGCATATGCAGTCTGCATTCCCGTCGGGTCCCTCCATGAGGCCCTGGCTGACCTCCGCAGACGCGGGCAGTGTTGCAGGGAATCAGCGCACCGCACGCTCTCAGGGTTCAGTCCCGTGGGCATCGGGTGGTACCTGTCTGTGCACGGTGGCTGCAGCTCGCGATCCTCCTGCCTCAGCCTCCCGAGCGCTGGGCGCCGGGCAGGACCCCGGGCCCGGGGCGTTTGTGCACTTTTACCTGACGCGGAGGGACGGGCTCTGGACGTGGACTGACCCCTGCACCCTGCTCCTCGCCCGGGCCTCGGGAAACCACGTGCAGACTGGGCTTTTGGGTTTTGCATTTTTGCTTTGGCTCTGAGACGGGCGCTCGGGAGGCCGAGGCAGGAGGGTCTCCGGGAGTCCGAGCCCAGCCGTGCCCCGCCTCCGGGACCCCCCGGCCCGCTCCCGGCTCCCGCTGGCCCCGACAGTGTCCGCCCTGCTGACCGAGCCCCGTCCGTCCCTCTCTCCCGCCGTCCGCTCCTCCCGGTGCCCGCAGGGTGATCGACGGCCGCAACCTGATGCCCCTGCTGCAGGGCAGGAGGACGCGCTCCGAGCACGACTTCCTCTTCCACTACTGCGGCGCCCACCTGCACGCCGTCCGCTGGCACCAGAAGGACTGTGAGTGCCCGCGGGAATCGGGGTACAGGGACGCAGGTGGGGGCCTGACCCCGGGGAGGGGTGCGGTCCTGAGTGGGGATGGAGCTGGGGACACGGGGACGGGGCGGGAGGGAGACTGGGGGGACAGAGACAGAGACACAGATAGAGACAGAGACAGAGACAGAGACAGAGATAGAGAGACACAGAGACAGAGACAGAGACAGAGAGACAGAGAGACAGAGAGACAGAGACAGAGACAGAGACAGAGACAGACAGAGACAAAGACAGAGACAGAGAGAGACAGAGACAGAGACAGAGAGAGACAGAGATAGAGAGAGACAGAGACAGAGACAGAAAGACAGAGACAGAGACAGAGACAGAGACAGACAGACAGAGACAAAGACAGAGACAGAGAGAGACAGAGACAGAGACAGAGAGAGACAGAGATAGAGAGAGACAGAGAGACAGAGAGACAGAGACAGAGACAGGGACAGAGACAGAGAGACAGAGAGACAGAGACAGAGACAGGGACAGAGACAGAGAGACAGAGAGACAGAGACAGAGACAGAGAGACAGAGAGACAGAGACAGAGACAGAGACAGAGAGACAGAGAGACAGAGACAGAGAGACAGAGACAGAGACAGGGACAGAGACAGAGAGACAGAGAGACAGAGACAGAGACAGAGATAGAGACAGAGAGACAGAGACCGAGAGACAGAGACAGAGATAGAGACAGAGACAGAGAGAGACAGAGACACAGAGACAGAGAGAGACAGAGACACACAGAGACAGAGAAAGACAGAGAGATAGAGAGACAGAGAGAGACAGAGAGAGATAGAGACAGAGACAGAGAGAGACAGAGAGACACAGAGAGAGACAGAGACAGTGAGATAGACAGATACAGAGAGAGACAGACACAGAGACAGAGAGAGACAGACAGACACAGAGAGAGAGACAGAGACACAGAGAGACAGAGATAGCAAGAGAGACAGAGAGACAGAGACAGAGAGAGACACAGAGAGAGACAGAGACAGAGATAGAGAGACATAGAGACAGACAGAGACACAGAGACAGAGACAGAGACAGGGACAGAGAGAGACAGAGAGAGACAGAGACAGAGACAGAGAGACAGAGACAGAGAGAGACAGACAGAGACAGGGACACAGAGACAGAGAGAGACAGAGAGACAGAGACAGACAGAGACAGAGAGAGACAGAGAGACAGAGACACACAAAGACAGAGAGACAGAGAGACAGACACAGAGAGACAGAGACAGAGAGAGACAGAGACAGAGACAGAGAGACACAGAGAGAGAGACAGAGAGACAGAGACAGAGAAATACAGAGACAGAGAGACAGAGAGAGACAGAGACAGACAGACAGAGACAGAGAGAGAGACAGAGACACAGAGAGAGAGAGACAGAGAGACACGGACCGAGGGACAGACATGGAGGCAGCAGGCCCCGGCTGCTTCCCGCTGGCCTCGTCCGGCAGTGCTGACCCCTCGTGTCCACCCGTCCGGCCCCCGCTGCGTCCCGAGCTCCCGAGGCCGCGTCCGTCCCCCCAGCTCCCTGGTGACGTCCGTCCCCCCAGCGCCCTGCTGGCTGCCGGGCTCTCTTGGCCGCGAGGCCAGCACGCATCCCGCTCCCCCGGGAAGCCCGCGTGGACGCGGAGCCTGGCGGCCGCGGGCAGCAAGGTCCAGCAGGGTCCCAGCGGCCTGGCCGTCCTCCCGCAGGCGCCACGGTGTGGAAGGCTCACTTCGTGACGCCACGCTTCTCCCCGGACGGGTCCGGGGGCTGCTACGCGAGTGGCTCTGTCCCTGTTCGGGGGACGTCGTCCACCACGACCCCCCGTTGCTGTTCGACGTCTCCAGAGACCCCGCGGAAGCCCGCGAGCTGAACCCCGACAACGAGCCCGCGTTTGACGCCGTGATCAAGAGGATGGAGGCGGCCGTGCGAGAGCACCGCAGGACTCTGGCTCCCGTCCCGCGGCAGCTGTCAGCCTTCAACGTGCTCTGGAAGCCCTGGCTGCAGCCCTGCTGTGGCACGTTCCCCTTCTGCGGCTGTGACGAGGAGGATGACATCCTGCACACGGCTGCCTGACCCAGGAGGGGATGCTTGTTACGCGGCGGGTGCACACTGCTGCGCTGACTGTAGTAGCCACCAATCCAATTGGGTCCATCCACTGGGGATCCAATATGGCACCCAACACTGTGTTTCCATGGGGGGGACTCAGGCTCATCTTCAAGACCCCTTAGGAGCTCGGTGACATGAAGGTGGCCCCCAGCTAGAGTGACACTGGAATGTTTGTCTTATCCTAGCTACAGCGATTCGGGTTGCAATTTTTATTTTTCTCATTTGCTAGTTTGTCTCTGCACAGGTCACAGCTGTGTGTCTGATTTATTTCTCTTAATATTATGACCTCAAGGTGCAGCTGTCTTGCTATAAATGACTCGGCCATCTTCTTCATGGCATAGCAATATTCCATGGGGCACAGACACCACATCTTCCATATTGTTTATGCACCATTGAACAGACAAGTGGGCAGCTACCCAGAAGTGGGCTGGGCTGCCTGGCATGTCTGATCTGAGGTGTGTGAGGAATCTCCACCCCGATTTCCAGAGCGGTTGTACTGATGTTTGTCCTTTCAGTGGTATAGACGGGCTCCCTCACAGGGCTGCAGAAACCGTATTTGAAATTTGAGATTTGCCATTTCCTGGGCTGACAATGTTCCTTCACGGTGCCGGACGGTAGCAGGCTGTCTCTGCTCACAAATCGGGGGCTGGGAGAAAAAGACACCATTTAGACCGCGGAGAGGCTGTGAATTTTTTTAAAAGATGGAGGTTTTCACCCCAGAGTGACATGGAAGATGACATCCTGCTCACGGCTGCCTGACCCAGGAGGGGATGCTTGTTACGCAGCAGGTGCACAGTGCTATGCTGACTGTAGGAGCCACCAATCCAATTGGGTCCATCCACTGGGCATCCAATATGGCGCCCACCGGGGGAGACCAGGACCCGGGCTGAGCCGAGGAGCCTGGCAGGTGGAAACACCCGGTTTCTGCATCCCTGCGGTGCCAGGGAAAGCTCTGTGTTCCGATTTCTTCAAGTCGAGGAGGGAAAGAATCCAGGTTTATCTCATGGTGGTGGGGACGGGAGGGATGTGGATTATTCACCCAAAATAAAGGTCGCTGCTGGCCCGGCGCTGCCTGGTGGTTTGTTTTGAAATGCACGCTCAGCGCTGCTTAATTTTGGCTCCTGGAAGACAGAACACAAAGACTGGAGATTTAAAGAAAAATGTAGAAATAATTGCTTTTAATTGTAAAAAAATATCCATGAAGCTGAGATTAGCGTCCGAAACCATCCAGCCGTGACGGCCACGCTTTTAAAAATGCAGACGAAATAAACACAGAGGCTTTACCAGTATTTATTAGCAGAGTAACGTTTAATGGAAGGGAATTCTGCAAAGATGCATCAGCACCGGACGGGGAAATGTCGTTTCCAGCAGAATGGCCGATGCTGTTTAAACGGGGTGGGGGGCAGAGTTTGCAGCGGAGCAGATTTAACGCAGGACACGGAATCTGTAGGGTTATTTTGTAATATTGACCCAGAGGCAAACCCGGACAGCATTGGAGGCCTGTGCACACACTGGGGACCCAAAGCACCCGCGGAGGAGGCCTGGATCCCGGGCAGTGTCCCCCAGAGTCCAGCTGGAGGCGGGAGCCCGGGTCCGGGCCTCGCCTCAGGATCCGAGCTGTGAAGGCCCAGAGGTCAGCGGTGCACGCTGCAAACTCTGTGCCAGCAGCCGAGGCATCTGCCCTGGAGCCGGACGCCTTGCTTAAGCAGGGACCAGGCTCCCCGAAAAGCACCGCAGCCATCCTCAGCTCCTCTGATGACGACAACGGCCCAGTCCGCGTGGACCATAATTGCAGACTGGATGCAGACGGCCTGGGGGATGAGCAGGACCCGAGTCCAGCACAAAGCGAGTTTCGGGGTGAGGAAAGCCCTGATCCCCGTTGATAGCCGGGCCTGGTGGTGCCCGCCCGTCATCCCAACACTAGCTGGGGAGGCTGAGGCAGGAGGATCCTTGGGAGTTCGGGGCCAGCCTGGGCTGTAGAGTGAGCTCAAGGGCCGCCTGGACTGCACAGCACAGTAGATCTTGTGACAGTGAAAGACAAACAAAGTGCCCAAAACAAAAGAGTCACGGGACGGGGGAAGGCAAGAAGGAACCAGGGAAGGTATATATACCACATATATTTATGCACTATATATTTGATAACTATAATCTCTGTAAGTTCACCAAAGAGAATCACTGTCTGATTGCTTGGTCATGTTTTCATTCCTCAATCCTGTAACCTGAGCAACCACTTCTAAGATAAACAGCATGCAATTTATTAACCAGGATAAATGATGTGGGGCAAGGAAACTCAGACCATAGCTGTGTGGTAGGAGTTTGTGTTCTCTAACATCGAAGAATGAATTTTAGGAACATGGAGGTGAAGAGCATAAATATTTACCGAGAGCAAGAAAGCTTCTGTCTGGGGAGACAGCAGGGTCCCGAGCGGGTGGCCAGGGACTCTGTGTTTATTGGGATTTTACAGAGCCACATCATGAAAGCACTGCAGGGTGTCTGTCCTTCTGCCCTGGCTCCTCCGGCCCGGCCCCGTCCGCCTGCCTGGACATTCCTGCCCCTCAGCTGTCCGTGACCCAAGCAGGGCTGCAGAAGCTGAAAATGTGTTTGCATCCAGCCTGCACCTAAGTCAGGAGAAGTTTTTGCATTTTTAGCTGCGTTTTTAAAAGAATTTTGCACAGTTTATTTTTTCCTGAGACACCGAAGCAGTGTGGTGTGTTTCCGTGCACCTCACACGTCGCCTGTGAAACAGCCAGTGTCGGGGCGGTGCCCGCTGAGCTGACCTGTTCTATGCAATTCCCGTGAGCAGCTTCTTGGCTTATCAGGGCTCAGCTTTTTTTAAGCAGTTTACAATTACGATATGCAAATTAGATAAAATATATATCGATATAATTATAAACTCTGCAAGTTATGCAACTGAATAATTAACCGTTTTTTCCAAGATGAAATTACAAATGGAAAACTTTGTCTATACATTGCATTTTATTTTATATTTTATTCTAAGACAAGGTCTCACTCTGTAGCTCAGGCTGGCCTTGAACTCTCAGAGATCCTCCTGCCTCAGCCTCCCGAGCGCTGGGATTACACCAGCACGCCCGGCTCATGTGTTGCTTTTTAAAAAGTAGTTTTTAAATATTGTGCGCACCGAAAGATACTAAGTGGATTAGGTGATAAATTAATGAACTCTGTGTAAATACCGGGGGTGTGATACATGCCTTCAAACCCCACAGGACAGCCCAGGAAGGTACGCAGGTGTTTGACGTTTAGAAACAACCTTTAAAAGCTAGGAATTGCAGTCTTTCTGATCTGCCCCCAGCATCCAGCCCGGGTTTGTAGCTTTACTGAACCCTGCGTTTTAACCACTAGAGGGCGGGTGTGACCCGAAATCTTCGCCACCAAAGGAATTTCGAAAATGTGCGGCTCACCCTGCTGTGGTCGGGAAAGCCCACGTTAAATTCCATTCTTGCAATAACTTTGCCAGGGAGAGCAGGCTTTTCCCGCGCAGCGGGGCAGCCCGGATCTCCAAGTGCTCAGCCGCCCCGCGAGCCGGCTGTCTCGAGCGCACACTGGCCTGGTTTGGCCGGGAAGTGCGTGTTCTCTCCAGTTCTGGGCAGAAGAGCTAGAAGCAAACCTTAAGGCTGAGGAACACAGAAACGGGCAAAACAGAGAGACCAGGGCCTGCGAGCCAGCTCCTGGCTTTCTGTCATCGTCTTGTGCTTACCAGGCAGGCGCTTGGGCCGCTGAGCTAAGCCCCTGGCAGTTCCTGGCTTTTGTAAAGCTGAATGGTTGTATTTGTCTTTGATTTTCATGCTGGGGCATCCACGCTGGGGCTCATGTTGTAGTGCAGGAGTCCGCACGTGGTGAGGCACAGGTGAATTCTTTTCTCTCTTGTTCCTTCTCCTCCTTACTGTTCCCTGCATCTCTGGTTCCCTTTTCTGTTTGCAAACAATCAGTCTCCCTGTTCCCTGTGATCTGTCTTTTATTTTGCTCATTGTATTAGTTACATGTTGGGGATTTTCCTAGAAGAGACACCGTGCGACCGTGAAGCGTGCACATCTGAGTAATTTGTCTCAACACCAAGGCCTCTAGGTGCGTCCGCGCTTCCTCCTGTCCGTGTCTGTGGCTGCCTGGAGTTAAACGATGCAAGCAGATACCAGGGCGGCGGGCGCCCGGCGGGCTCCGAATGGTGCACATAGAAGCCGCCTCCAGGCACGGCGGCCAGAGGGGAGCGGGTCACCCAGGCTCGTAGGCCGGACGGGGCGTTGCTGCCTCCCGAGGGTGACGGGGCACCTCGGGGTCTCACAGCGCACATGACCGCGGCTCGAGGCCAGGTGCACACCCCGGACGTCCTGGACGTCCTGCTGGCCTGGAACGCGGGAGACCGTCCCGCCTCAGCCTCCCGGGCTGGGCGCTCGCTGTGGGTGCAGGCGGGTGTAGACGGAGGGCCGAGCGGGGGCCTGCGACAGCGCCAGAGCCTGCAACCCGGCCAGGTCGGCTCCCCCGCCGCCCTCTGCTGAGCCCGCCTCACACAGCAGAGGGGCTGCCCCGCGCCATGAAATAGAGTCTTTGTAAAAGTTTATGAGGCTGCGCCGGCCGCACATAGTGGTCACAGTCGTCCTGAGCCGTCAGTGCCCGGCTGTGACTCAGCTGCGGTGCTGTGTGCTCCTCTCCTGCCCGGGCGCCCTGTCTCTGTCTCTCTGTCTCTCTGTCTCTGTCTCTCTGTGTATCTCTTTGTCTCTGTCTGTGTCTCTCTGTTGCTGTCTCTCTCTGACTGTCTCTCTGTCTCTGTCTCTCTGTCTCTCTGACTCTGTCTCTCTGTGTCTCTGTCTCTGTCTCTATCTGTGTCTCTGTCTCTCTGTCTCTCTATGTCTGGGTCTCTATCTCTCTCTCTGTCTCTGTCTCTCTATCTCTCTCTGTCTCTATCTGTGTCACTGTCTCTCTGTCTCTGTCTCTTTGTCTCTGTCTGTGTCTCTCTGTTGCTGTCTCTCTCTGTCTCTGTCTCTCTGTGTCTTTCTGTCTCTGTGTCTCTCTGTCTCTGTCTCTCTGTGTCTATCTGTCTCTCTGTTGCTGTCTCTCTGTCTCTGTATCTCTGTCTCTATCTCTGTCTCTGTCTCTCTGTCTCTCTGTGTCTGTGTCTCTGTCTCTCTCTCTGTCTCTGTCTGTCTGTCTCTCTATCTCTGTCTCTCTGTCTCTCTCTGTGTCTCTGTCTCTGTGTCTGTCACTGTCTGTCTCTGTCTCTCTGTCTCTATCTCTCTCTCTGTCTCTGTCTCTCTGTGTCTATCTGTCTCTCTGTTGCTGTCTCTCTGTCTCTGTATCTCTGTCTCTATCTCTGTCTCTGTCTCTCTGTGTCTGTGTCTCTGTCTCTGTCTCTCTCTCTGTCTCTGTCTGTCTGTCTCTCTATCTCTGTCTCTCTATCTCTCTCTGTGTCTCTGTCTCTGTGTCTGTCACTGTCTGTCTCTGTCTCTCTGTCTCTATCTCTCTCTCTGTTTCTGTCTCTCTGTGTCTGTATCTCTGTCTCTCTCTGTCTCTCTGTCTCTGTCTCTGTGTCTGTCTCTCTGTCTCTCTATCTCTGTCCCTCTGTCTCTCTGTCCTGTCTATCTCTGTCTGTCTCTCTGTCTCTGTCTCTCTCTGTGTCTTTGTCTCTGTGTCTGTCACTGTCTGTGTCTGTCTCTCTGTCTCTATCTCTCTCGCTGTTTCTGTCTCTCTGTCTCTCTGTGTCTGTATCTCTGTCTCTCTCTGTCTCTCTCTCTGTCTCTGTCTCTTTCTGTCTCTGTCTCTCTGTGTCTCACTCTGCCTCTGTCTCTCTGTCCTGTCTATCTCTGTCTCTGTCTCTCTGTCACTGTCTCTGTCTGTCTGTCTCTGTCTCTCTCTTCCGTCCTGTCTTTTCTTTCTCCTCTGTCTCTTGCGTCCTTCCCACCGCACATACCTTCTGACAGTGGACATTCAATCGCCAAACCGCGACCCACGACCTCCAGCCCGCGAAGCTGCGAGTGCCGAGCCGTGACTCGGGTCTGCTTTGGCGTCTGCAGTGCCGGGGGGAACCCGAGGCCTCCCCTGGGCCATCAGCCAACCC